CGAAGCCTTGGGCAACCAGGGCGTCCCTACTGTGTACATCAAGACGCTTCGGGAGCTCTACAGCAACTTCACGACCAGAATCTCACCATTCTACAAGGAGGTCATAATCAACATCAAGAGAGGGGTTCGACAGGGCGACACCATTTCGCCCAAACTCTTGAAGGTCCACGCCCACCTCTTCGATTCCTGCAGTCCTTCCTGCCCTAACCTACGCCTCAGAGACTTGGACTCTGCGCAGGCAGGACGAGCATGCGGTCAGCGTTATCCAACGCGCTGTCGAGAGGACGATGCTAGGAGTAACCCTATACACGCAAGTGCAGAGGGGAATCCGGAGTTCCGAACTACGCCAACGATCGAAGATCAGGGACGCTGCCGTTTTCGCCAAGGAATCGAAGATAAGGTGGGCCGGACACGTCATGCGATTTTGCGATGACCCTCGGGACGTCAAACGAACACCTGGACGACCGCCGGCCCGATGGTCAGACTTCTTCACGAAAGCTCTGAACGAAAGGAATGAAGGACTTCGTGTCCCTCGAGCGAGGAGGGTCCACTGGACAACTCTGCACGCGACAGGGACGAATGGAGACGTTGCTGGCGCCCGCTCGAGCAATTCGATGATCAACGGGACGACAGGTGATACAGGTGATTATTGCACAGAGGTAGACAAAATTTCAGAAACCGACCAAATGGCGAGCAAAAACGCGGCAGTAGTTCGAAGAAGGGAGAAGTGGTGACTGTAGTGCTACTGTGCAAAAAAACTGAATAAGAAAATTTATTCTCTCTCTAAAGCCTCCATTTTCTCGGAAACAGGCTCGAATATGTTGTGGAAACGCGCCGACATTTAACCCACTCCATACCTTTCACACAGGTCCTGCAAGGAACTGAGGTCACGAAGACCCTACGCATTCCTGAAAAATGCTCCCTACGAAGAAGAAGCGGCGCGATGAACTGATGAGTAGTCACCAACATTTGCACTGGCCTTGCGCGATTCAGCGCTAGCTTACCTTCCGCCTTAGGTGTTATATTATACATGCTAGTTGAAGGTTTCACAATTCTGTGATCCTCTAAATACTTTCTGAAATGGCTTTCTGGTCAAATTCAGACGATGCAAGACGTCTGTCGCTCCAAATCCTCGACAGTACAAGTCATCAATGTAGAGGTAAGCCAACACAAGCTTCATCGTTCGAGCATCTCCATCATTTAAGTTTTATGAAATGCCTAAAGTTCCGTAAAAGCCGGAAGGAGGGTAAATAGAAGAAGAACCGAAAAAGCTTTTCGAAGAAAAAGAGCACCTAGGTGGGTGGTAGATACTTGATTTTCAAAATCATTTGCCCCACACTGTACTACTGTGGTTTTGTGGTTCTAAAAGAAGGCATTGTAACCAACGAGGGCACGACTGAGGTAGGAGAGGCACTATACAATGTAACTTCTACGATTACTTCTTTTGACTCTTGTCTTTCAATGTAGTTTAGCGTTCTTGCTCATATTACACATAGATCTGTTTCCTTTCATTATCTACGCCAATCTGATTACTTCTCGGTTGATTCTGAAACCGATTTAGGTTGTTAAACGACATCAAAATATTTTCATAGACAACATGAGCTGTCAAAATCCCCAATGAGATGACACACCTGAGAGGTCCGACAGAGTGGTTGAAAGATGTCGTCATCAATTTGCTAAATATAGCACATCCGTTACCGTCACATTTCAGCTCTCTATCATGATCGATCGAGGAAATTACACGCTGCTCTAAGCTAAAGCTCTTATGAAAGACACCTTTCAGTTTGCCAACGATCGTATATGGCGTAAGGCGGTGAGAACAAGGGACAAACTTATGCCTGATTCTGAAGGACATCTTGAAAATCTTTTGCAGCGAAGCATCCATCCACCTTACCATCCCATGTAGGCGCTGCTCAACCAGCGACGAAATTGGGACAGAGATGAATTCCACATGTAACTGTACCTTTCAGGGAATAAATAAGCTAGACCATCATTTTTTGCCTAACTGAAACCCACTCCGCGGACAAAATCTTGATTTTCTAGGTAGGATTACCAATTGCTGTTGCCGCTATCTTATAATGTGCAGAATAAAGCATCTTATAACGAGGATATCTTCAAGATGACCTGCCATAATTCGTTAGATGAAATGCAGATGGTCATTGCTGAGAAGTCTGGAACCCTGGACATACTTCGCATGATGCTTCTCTACTGTGTCTTACTGTTGGGATTCTAATATGGGAGTGAGGTTTTGTATTGTCACCGATTATCACAAATCTCGAACTAATGTTTCCGAAAAAAGAACACGGATTTGGTGAGCAGAGCCTTACAAAAAGAACTCTAATTTGACAAGACGCTTAGTAGCAAAACCAGTTTCCTTGCTTGTTCATTTTCTTGAAACATCCGTTAAATTTTTCAATATCTGTAAATTGGGTGGATGCGTGGCGCAGTTGGAGTAGCAGTGAGGTCCTGAAGCCGAATAAATCTATTCCACCGTAACAACCTGTATGGCATAGCAACAACAACACGGAATATACAAACATGCCCAGGTTAAGACCGAACACGGAATATCTATTAGCTCTCAGCCATCAGCTCCAAGCAATTCTTCCGGCAGAGAAACCCGATAAATCATTTTTGCTTGAATATAACGGGGGAACGAGGCGCAGCTTGATCAAGGAGATTGTGGTGTTTCGTAAAAGAGACATGCGCCATTTTTCCAACTGGTGATAGCCACTAGGGACGTCCAGCGTCAGTAACTCTATCTGTAGTGTTTTGAACACAAGTTTTTAATGTTTTGGTGCGTTCTTCCGGGGAAATGTCGCATCTTTCGTTCACAGAAAGTCATCAATAACCTATGGTCCCTACTGAACCTGTTGTAAAAAAAACCAGGAAACTCCTGCCTTTACTGACGTCTCTAGGTTGAAAATAAAAAGTTTTCGAAACTTTCGACTCTTGAGAACCTTTGTCTCCTGAGCAATTTGCTTAGAAAAGGATTCATCACATAATTCTATCAACAGCACGAAACAGAGTGGTGAAAGCACTGTGAAAGAAACACACCTCAAAACCCATCGCTTTGATCGTTTCCGGAGCAGTGACAATTTCTCTTTGGTTTGGTCGACTTGTTGCTGCTTAAGTAGCAGTATTGAAAAAGTAATCAATCAACGAGTCAACTGAAGCGCTATTCGTATGGCCAAACTAAACAGCTACTTAATTTCATAGTCACTGAAAGTGTCTTCATGCTCGCGTTCAATTATTTGCATATGCATATTTATTATATTTGTAGCTTCAAATGATATTGTAGCGAATTCTTTAAGGGGGGGAGAGAAGGACCAGATCTGCTGTCAGAACGATGGTGCCCTTATAGTTTGAAATCTTCACTGGAATCGTTTTCATAACTAGTCCTGTCCATGACGTGAACTATGGTTTTCTCTCTAGGTTCGCTTTCCACTATTTAGTTGACGTGAGACCAGACATACCGCCCTTTTTTCACCGTACTGTGTGACACCCTATTCGTCGCAGCATCAACACAAGATCAATTGTCATGCCTAGCGAAATCTCTTCGGCTTCTGGCGCAAGCAAATCGATTTGGGACTTTCGAATAGTGGAAAAAAGCTGATTCGACCAGTTAAATGGAATGCTCGCCATAACAGCATCTGGTCAATACGGATTATTCTGGAACACATCTCCTCTGATGCTGAAAACATTACCGGCTTACGAAATTTCGGTTCGCTTTCGATTGCCTACCTTAGGCCGATGTCAGACTTTGCGAATCGCGCGATTCGCTAGCGTCTGCGGTCGCGTCGCGGCCAGTGAATCACTCAATTGGCTGGTACCGCAACGCGACCGCGGACGCTAGCGAATCGCGCGATTCGCAAAGTCTGACATCGGCCTTACTGCCCTCCCCCCCACTCTATTCCAGCAAACACGTAGTATTCCACACAAATAGCACATTTTGCTACTGTCAGGTTTAAAATCAGTTAGTTAGCACGAACACCCGGGCCAAAGAGCTTGTTCAAAATCCTCTGTAACCTACTCTTAGCGTGCATGGCAGCAGGAGGTGATGTCGTTGTCGTAGTAGAAGTAGGAGTGGTAAATAACAGCCGAGTTGTTTCGAGTATTTCTGGAATAGCTGGAGTAGTGACATGAAAACATGCAAAACAGATCTTTAGAATCGGAGAGGTACAACGCTGAACGCCTTAGAAGTGTTTCTACTTCGAAAAAAAAAAAAAAAAGAATGATTGAATGTTTAAAATTCTCCACTGTACGTCATTTCTAGAGCTTAGCAAAGCTTCAAACCTGACAGGCACATTGCGCGTTCATGTAATTAGGGAAAATGTTGGTGGGGAGGCATCATGGCCATCATACTTTTTGACTATGATTATCGCGGACAAGCACATTGAGAAACCATCCAACGAAACAGTACTGTTCTATGAGCTTCCTTCCCCTCTCAGAAAAAAAATCGCTTAGGCGGGCAAGACCATATGCTACTTAAAGAATGTGATTGAAAGAAAAAATTATTCGTTTGATAGACAGTTCGTGGGGCGAAAAAACTCGTACTCGAAGCTAGGAAAACGTTATTTTCGTTCAATTTTCCGCCATCTATCACAAATGTTGTGACGGGAGCGCTTCACTCTGGTTCTTAGCTCGTCATAGGTACTTATTTCAGCTATCCAGCCTACAGCGATATGTTTCAATCTTCCACTGGATCCTATTCTATTGACCGTTCTGTCTATACTCTGTTTCATGCAGCCAGAAATCCACGTGGCACACGTGGCTAAATTCTCGATGAAAAGGTGACATCACGTGTGCTCAAAGATGTTCTTGAATCGATGCCACGTTAATGCCACGTCAATTTCTGCAATTGCACAATTTCTGGTCATTTGAAGGCGAGGTATCTTCTAAATTGCACTTGATCCCTTTCGATCCTTTACGATCGATGGCCCGGCCACGCAGTAATTCTTTCCATGCGCCCCTTTGGCTCCACCTATTAGGGTTGTCTCAGAAGTTCGTGCACATTTTGAACTATTTTTGAGCCCACTCTAATTCAATTACATGCATTATCTACCACCAATATTACACCATCACTATCAGTGACTTGCTATCAACGGACCAGCGAGAAGAGTGGCCGCTCAACTCCCAGAAGGCTGCCAGCTAAATAAATGCCAGTGAGACGATTCTTGCAAGTGCTTTCATGTTGGGATCGATTTTCTTTTTACTCGCCCAAGTAAATGAGCGAAGGCAGAACATTTCTTTTGGAAATAGCGCTATACTACGCTGCATTCGATAGATGTGGGTAGGACTGTTTTCAGCTGAGATTCAAATTTAGTTCGCTATTTTTTGAGGACGTGTTGGTCTCAGGCCCCCGTCGTGTAGCCGGACATACTTGTTGTGTTTGAGACCGCTGCCGTAGTTCTGGGCTGAGCCAACTTGATCACAATACTTGACTGACTTCATGCTTGGGACGAGAAAGAACGTTTCCGTGGGTAAACTGAGAGCAGTAACAGCAAGGTGGAGTTATCGACCATGTGGTGAAATTTGTTATCTTTGGCCTCTTCTGCCTCTTATTGCCGTGATGATGGTCGTTCTCCAAGTCCGCGGTGCCACCTGGAAAGCTGCTCACTCTGTTGTCGACTGAACGCCGACCACGGACATTATACGAATGACAGGCAGACAGGCCCCCTGCACAGAGCCGTGCTACGAACTACCCAAGCTACCATCCACATATGTCATGTCGACTACCAAGTTATCTCGAGCTAATGACTACGGCGTCCGCAAAGCCGAGCGCGAGTAGTGAATAAGTACCCGCCGGAGGGTCTCGGGTCGAAGCGAGCAGCCGCGAGGACGTTCAGGCTTAAGTCCACGAGTACCGCGAGTGTTGCTTCGTGCCGTGTGGGGGTGTCACGAAATGAGGCACTGTCTCACAGCGCCCCTGTAGCGGCTTTGTCTTTACCTCGCGGCGCACTATGGTATGCTGACCAGAGTTAAGGACCATGCAACTCCCTTTGCCTACCGCGACTCACAGTAGTTCCGTAAATACATTCTTCATAACAAGTGCAGTCAGATTATTGAAGAATCTCACGCCTCCGCAGATGCTTCAACATCGCATTCTTCACGACACCGAGCGAGAGCCTATACGACCGCTGCGCACTCTGACCAATAAGCAGGACGTAAGGTGGACCTACAAAAGTAAATGCACGAAGTTGACAAAAACGCTATCGGAATCCAAAGAGCTGTGGACCTCGGCCATTAACATCAACGTATAGAGAGCCAACAGGTAGCCTGCACAGACTCACAAATCAAACAGACCGACAACGGCAATGCCCAGGTGCGCTTAACTAGAGAAGCGAGTTTTACTCCCCTGGCGATAAAGTCTGTTAAAGCAAAAGAGAATAATCCATTTCTGTATCATTAACAATTAATAACTATGAACCACAAACAGTCAAGAAGAAAAAAAACAAATGTAACCGAAAAAAGCCAGACAAAAGATACTTTCACAAACCAAACAAAACCCGGCTTCACAATCGCTTCTTGCGCTCAGTAAAGGCATACAGGAAGCAGAGCGGGTGCGAAAACAACACTTAATGCTACTTTCCTCAATGTCCACATTGAACCTCAAAGAAGGGAGATAAGACAAGAAGTGCACGGCATTATAAATCGCTACACTTTGTGTCCTCTTCCATGGCATAATTAGATAGATGGGGGACGAAGGACTTACGGCAATATGAGATAGCACGAACTTTCTGAAAAGAATAAACCTAATAAACATACCAATCTGAGGTCACGAGTGATATGTTTTGAAGGCTTTGATTTCTTTTCAGAGGAAATAAATGTACTACGTGAAATTGAACCTAAGAAAACGAAAACCTTGAAATGTACAACACTAAACGATTTCTTGAGCCGATCGCGAACAGAACACATTACTATACACCCGTGAAGGAAAAAGAAATTTTTCCGAATGAGGACGACTTCAATATCCAAAGCCAGCATACAAAATCAGTTACGATAGAATGGTAGAATAGATAAAGCGAATTGACAAAGATTAACTATTGGCAATATCTAAATTTCATAACCTCCAAATCACGGCGCTACCATTAAAATATTCCCTATTTACGCGGAAAAGGACAAACGGACCACACACAATCGAGATAGTTTCGACACATTATATCGCACAATGGACAAGGTATCCAAACCTAATTTAAGAAAACATAGTTGGAGAAACAAGAACCAGTAATTACCTCGATAGACGAAGTTTCAGTTTCAAATCAATCGATCCAAGAAGTTTTCGAATCCACCTTTAAAGTTGTCATTGCCACAATAGTGGCGTTCTAAAAAAGTCTGGTTACCAAAAAGCAAAACAAAAAATATTCATCCATGCTCCGACACTTTTATGTAACCTAGAACCAACCACACCGAAACAGAGCATTTTGTTCCTGAACAAGTTGTAGTTTGCTATTATTCCAACCAGCAAATAGGTATATAGAAATATTGGGGTAGAAATTTCCATTCAGCCTAACGTAGATTCAACAAAATCTCGCTCGTAGTACAAAGGCCGACAAAAGCGTTTCCGGAACATTCAGATGCTTTCTACCCGCAAAACAGGAACTTGAATATCCCTTGGCAATAGTGACCTCCAATAGACTATGACGAGCGGATCTACACAAAGGCTTAACTCATGTCAACACCCCCAACTACCGGATGAGCGAAATTAGTCAATACTCGCTCAGCCCGCTCAGAAAAATTAGTTCAAATGAAACACCAACCAAACACAACAAAACACAAAAACCAAACCCAAAACCACCAACCCCAAAAAAAAAAAAGACCACCACAAAAACAAACAACGCCACAAACCAAACGCACCCAAAAACCCTCAACCCACAACAACCCCCAAACCCACACACAACCCAACCCAAAAATAAAAACACAAACCACACCATAAAAAAAAAAAGCCCACAACAACACAATACAAAAAGCAACAACCCACACAAAAAACACAAAAAAAAACAAACCAATAACACCAAACAAAAAATAGAAATCAATGTCGGACAAGGAGTCGGAGAGAAGTGGTAGACCGCTAAAGTGCAGGTCTCTGCAACTGGTCAATAATTGACCAGTAAAGTGATCAGGGCGGCAACGCGTACTGCCTGTGGTACAGAGTTGAGCGGGAAACCCCCTATAAAAGGGGCCAGGGTCTGTGATCGGGGTTCTACTAAGTTACTCATCGTCTCGTTATCCTCATCAGGAGGAGGCAACTTATTCTTCCCGGATGGTGGCCTGTGTGGCCGAGCGATCTTGCTGTAGCTTAGTGATGCTCCCTAGTGGCCTGTGTGGCCGAGATCCTTGCTAGCTTAGTGTCTAGTGCCCTGTGCTGGCCTGAAACCCCTCCCAGTTCAGGACAGTGGCCTGTGTGGCCAGAACTCTGACTACCCAGTGCGTATAAGTGGCCTGTGTGGCCAAACTCTACCCCCAGCAGTTCGAGTTGCCGTTCCACATTGTCCTCGTGAGTGGTTGACGTCTCTCCGACTCTCATCAGCGACCGTGCTACTTGATCATGTTTTTTTATCGCCTTATTATGCATATGTGTTTTGTCATTAATGTACGCTAGTCATTTTTAAGGTAAAATTTACAGTTCTCCTGTCTCAATTGTTGTTCTTGCCATATTGACCGTTGAAACGGAATAAAGTCTAGTTGGTGGTTGACATGTTATCGGATTGAAATCCGAAAATAGAAATGAGACCAACCCGAGATCGAAACTGCAATGAATCAATAAAAAGCAAAGTGGATACGTGCACAAAGTGCATTACTTCCTCGATGTATAGCCGCCACAGAGAGAGAAGATATAGGCAAGGAATAATCAGGCCGGAAGCCCAATCAACATCAGTTAGATAGATGTGAATAGGTAAAGGTCGAGTACTATTGGATCTTTCCTAACCTCTGCATCAGCGCATCCACTTTATACCTATTTACGCGGAAAGGATAAACGGTCACAAACGAGTGTCCGCACTTTTTGGAAATGGGGCATCGACCTTGAAGAAAAACAAGTTGTAAGAAAAAAGAAGTACTACCTGGTAAGACGAAGGTTTCATTCGAATAATCGATCCAGAGTTTCCGAATCCCCTTTAGTTGTCTTGCCACACAATAGGGCTTCTAAAAAGTCTAGTCACAGCAATATTCTCCATGTCCGCCTTTCTTGAAACCTGGGCATTTGTTCTTGAACAGTTAGTTGTTGCTATTATGCCAAACAGGTTTGATATGGTGGAATTTTTATTCAGCCTAACGTTTCGACAAATTCGTCGTTGTCAAAGGCCTGAAAGCGTTCCGAAACAATCGAATGCTGCTTACCCGCCTAACATGAATTGGCATTTGGCCAAGTGCCACCCATTCTTATGAACCGAGCGGAATCTATAACAATAGGTTACTCACCTCAACTCCACCAGTGCCAATACTCGCTCAGCCTCCCTCAGCGACTTGTAATATCAGTAGAATAAATGAGACCAACCGGTCGTGCACTGCTTATAAAGAGTGTACGTGCAGTGCATTACTTCCTCGCTATCATAGCTCACAGAGAGGGATATAGGGCAAGAAGTCGGCAGTTATGGAGATGCATTCATTTCTGTTGTTGTTCATAAGGCAGCGCAATCCATGCATGACAAAATCATACAAAGAGTGTACAGAAGAGTATGATGAGAGTAAAGAATACCAGTGCTGTCGGACTGTGGATCCCGTATGCTTTACCATTACTTGGTTGTCGCATCAGTTCCGTCGCATCAAGACGAGATTTTTGTTCAACATTCACTCTTTAAGTGGCATTTGATGGCATTGACGCCATCACGACCAACAATCACGGCTAGGGAGTAACTGAATGATTTCATCACATAGAGAGGACGAAAATTGAGAATTCGGATGAGCTGCTTCCAAAGTAGATGGAGCTCATGATGTCGGTTCTCCTTAAATGCTACTTCTAGCGCCAAAATAGACAATAGTTCGATGGAGCGCTTCAGGACTACACGATATACAAGGTGCCGAAGTCCAGCCAAGCTCTACCAGGATGTGAAGAGCGACCTTGCCGCAACAGGTCAGAATACTTGGAGAAAGGCGATTCCAAATCGTCGCGTGCTTCTCCCGCATCGCTCAAAGGAATGGTCCAGGAAAGCTGTAGATTTTTCTGCTGTTGTGAGAATGATTGTGTGTGGCCATGGAAGACCATTGTAAAGATCTTAACGTGCCCTGCTCACACCATTCTGTCGATCTCTACGTTTCTTTGTTGGCAGCTGCTCCGAAAGAAAAGCAATGAATTTTTAAGGACATGACAGTGTATTATCATGCACGTGCAGGTCCCGGGATCTGCCACGAGCGATATGTGGCACCGATTCTTGATCGTAGGTCGACGTGGATTTTGATTCCCATTCCATGACCAGAACATTTGTATTATACAGCAGAATAAAAATTAAAATAGTAGAAAACGTGAAAACGTTAGCAATTGAAAAGCTCTTCTCATTCTAACCGGAACTTTGTAATTTTTAGAGCAATGCTTAGTAGCAATGGAACCCAGCTGTGTAATAAGATTCGTCGAAAATGAAGAACTCACGTCTACGACTCCTTCAGATTTAGTTCGATTTCTGCAGTTACATGCATATCGCATACCACCTTTAGATGGACTATCACAGAAACCGTCAGCCTGGCATGATGAACACATGTGGTCAGACCATACGCTGAAGATGCATTTGAAAGTAATCAAAACGCGCTAGTTATTTATTCAGACTGTGCTTTGGAATAACCTTACGTTGCGTTGAAACATGGATAGACCTTCTTCGAATTATGATCAAAAGTACAAACGCATATCGAATACTGAAATTCACATACGTTTCAAACAACCACAGGAAGCACGGATAAACTTGTTCAAAAAATCTAAAATGGTAGAAATTTTGGAGCTAGAACAAACCTTTGTGGCAATCGCGCATAAGGCTTCTACATACATTTGCGAATCGCGCGATTCGCAAAGTCTGACATCGGCCTTATGGCGCTCCCTGCATGTGGTATACGTGTAGTCAGTTACCCTAACCCTCGCGTCTGTTGCTGGTAGCAAAATGCGGAAACGTTTGTAGTTAGCAATGCAACTGATCTTACGTTATTGTTCGGTGGGTCGAGAAACAAGATACATCCCATTTCAGGAGTTCCAAGGCACTTGCAATGCGCTTCGACTGCTTCATAGCGCGGATTGAACGTCGCCTGAATTGAAGCGATGAATTGAAAGAAGACATAAATTTCAAAACTTTTTTCTGAAACGAAGTGAGGCAAGTGAAGATTGAAATCATGACAACATAGAATGCGATCGTTTTAGTAGAGATAAAAACTGCACGACGAAAAAAAAAACAGCTGTAATGTCACATCAAATACGTCGCACATTTCCGCACAAGCAAGTAAGTGCGGGTTTTTCTAGCATCACCAGCTGATTCCTTACCATAAATGACCATTGCATAGCAAGTTTGGAAAAAGCTTCTTTTCTTTTCGCTATT